AACCAGCAGCTCAGGATCCAAGACCCAGAAGGTGCTCAGAGTGGGCAGCTGGGCCCACAGATACGGGCTCATCCGTGACACTCTTATTTTCCTGCTTCTCTCTATTTTGCTATCTGTGCACTGGGTGTTTTCCCTGTTCCTGCCAGGTTTCCCTCCCAGCACCCCCACAGAGCCATGCTGGGGGGGTTTGCTGACCAGGGCTCCTTGGTGTCATAAAGATTGAGCTGCTTCCCTGCTCCCCACACCTCCCCGTGATGGGAAGTTCTCCTCACTGACCCTGCCCAATAAAGCAGGACAACATGCTGAAGCTTGAGGCTGGGCCAGGGGAAGGGAAAATGGTTTAGTTTTCAGGTAAAGCCACTTGGAGCTCACAAGCACTGAGGCAGGAGGTCCAGGTGGTCAACAAAGGACAAGAGATGCTGCCTACCGAGTCCTCCTTGTGTTGCCTGGTGTCCTCAAGCTGATCTGGGATCTCTGTCCCCTTTAGGAGCTGTTTGTCCCTGTCCTGTGAGTCAATCCAGTCTCTTCTCCTTAGCCTCCTGTCCTGAGCCAGGCCTGCCCGCCTGTCCTGGTTTGGGACATCAGGACAACAAAGGAACAGCCCCGTGGCCTCACTCAGCTCCCCCCTCACACACCCCCTGGGATGGGGAGGACAAACCCAACTAGAAACTCATGAGTTGAGACCAAGAACAAGGAGGGATCTTCACTGATCAGGGTCCCGGGCAAAACAGCCTCAACTTTGGGAAAAATAACAATTTAATACTAATCAAACACCCCCAGGACACAGAGCAGGGCTTGCAGATGTTCCCCCTTCTGTCAGTTCTTTCCTATGTTAATGGCAGAGGTTCATCCATTGTCCCTCCAATGGCTCCCTGGCTGGTTTGGAGCAGGGGCAGCTTCTCAGCTCCTTCCAGGAGCCACCCCTGGGTTCCTTCCCTGCTACCAAAAACCCACCAAACCAAACCAGCACACTGCCCTGCCAGGCTCTGGGCCCAGAGCCCCTGCCCCATAGGGGGTCTCTCTGAATCCTGGGTCAGGGCTGGGCCCCTCAGGACAGAAAGGATATGGAGGGGCTGGAGCGTGTCCAGGGAAGGGCAGGAGAGCTGGGGAAGGGGCTGGAGCAGAAGGAGAAGGGTCTGGAGAACTTGTGAGGAGCAGCTGAGGGAGCTGGGGGTGTCCAGCCTGGAGAGCAGGAGGTGAGGGGAGACCTGCTGGCTCTGCAGCTGCTGAGAGGAGGTTGGAGCCAGGGGGGTCGGGCTCTGCTCCCCAGGAACAAGGGGTGGGACAAGAGGAACC